TATATATATATATATATATATATATATATATATATATATATATATATATATATATATATATATATATATATATATATATATATATATATATATATATATATATATATATATATATATATATATATATATATATATACTTTTCACACCTTTTTTGTTGTTAACTAGTAACATTATGCAAGAACAATATTACATCCTGAATAAATCCGTATCGCCGAGAAATGAGTTCAACAGTAACATTTCCCAACACATAACATGACAAAAGGAAAGTGGATAAAAACTTAGGAGATCACTGCACAGGCAGCATTGATTAAAATTTGGGAAAAATACAAAGAGCAATGAGGGACGGGAGAGGGAGACGGCAGGCTTCTCCCACGGTTCCGCATGGAGAAAAAACTTGCTGGAGGGTCTCAAATGCTCAGGTCAGCCCTACGCTCAATTTCAAAAACAACCTAGCGATGTTGACTTTACTCTCGATATTCCCTATAATTGTCTTATAAGAAGACAAAAAACAATTTTCTATCAACCAGTAAAACCTTTAGCAAAAATATTCATTCAGTGCCAAAGAGTTCATCACTGAATGTTCCAAAACATTCCCGACAGCATGCATGCATTTATTTTGCTGTATGCGTCAGTCTGATGCTGCTTTAAGTTTAAAAAAATCAGTAAAGGTGGAAATTTTATCCAAAGTATTATTTGTAATTTCAATTGTTTCTGATATGAGAATTTGTTTGATTTTTCTCAATTTTGCAACAATACGATCAACTCCTCACTGCTCGTATGATTTGAAGTAACTTCTAACATATTATCTGACTATACTATTTTCATATTCTAAACATAATTTGTTCAAATTATGGCATGTAAAGGCGTGAAAACTAGCACTACTGATATCAATCAGTTTCATGATTCAAAATTACTCGAAATGACAAAATTGTGATTTTACAAATACACCAACTATTATCACTGTTAAGAAATTCGTTTGCCATTGTCATTAATCGCGATTAGGCTGATGGAAAATAGCAATTGATTTTCGGATCAAATAAGACCGATGGATGAATTATATAGTAATGCGTGCGACTGTTCCCGATTTTCAGCGCAGTATCGTTCGCTGTCTGTCGTTACAATTGGTAGTAGTAGTTCAGCATCATTTTCCGGACAACGAATGTTTATTCAACCTCGTTTCGTATCATTTGATCACTGATAACTATCATTTCTCCATTACCAATAATTTTTTTTTGAAATTTTAGGTAATTGATATGTTCATTTTGGATGGTTTCTGGTTGAATTCGTCGAACAGAACCAATAGCAATGCCGCCTCAGTGCTTCTAATCACAGCTGTCCTATATGTCATTTTAACAACAGTCGTCCATTCTCAACAACGACAGACAAATATTGACGATGATGATAACCTTTATATTCTCATTGACGAAATTAGTGTTTATACATGTCGAGGAGGTATGTATTTCTTGGACGGTAATAGTTCCTTAAGGTGGAGGATATGAACAGAAACGACTTCACAACAGATATCTCATTTTGTCGTTGCCATATCGTCTTTAACTTTGATCAAAGGAGTTGACTATGGCGACCTTTGCGATTGAAAATAAGCTCAACTGAACAAAAACTTATTGCTCACTATCTCATGATACCTTAATTTGATCATTATCTTTCCTTCATATCTTTCCATTTCCATTATGCAATATTTATCGTTTATAGAGTATTTACAGCTAAAAATGAGATCAAGCTAACAGAGGATGATATTGATGTTGTGAATGAGAAAGGTAATCGTGTATTCTTCATCAAGGCACCAGGAAATTACTCTTTGCACTTCAAGAGACTTGTTGTCACCAAAGATATCGGATATCTGAGTGGCGAAATTGGTGTTAAACTTCAAGTGCCAATCATCGAAGGTCCTGCAGGTTGGTATTCAAATTTTAAATCCAGATATTCGAAATCTTTTGGAATAAAGCTTTCCAGCAAATGACATTGTGAGTATTTATTGCCCAAATGATATTCCAGGAATTCGTTTCGACTTGCCTTATACAGTGATACCAGAAACTGGAATTTTAGACCAAGAATGTGACAAACATAGCGGTGTCGTAGAGCGTGGTAATCGACAGTACTGGTAAGGTTGTAATAATCACAGATTGTACGGAATCTCATAAGCCTTAAGTTTAGAGGGCGTTCGCCGGAAACTCTCACGACACTTTTGGAATCTTCATCTTTGGGAGAATTGCCACAGTAGCGCAATGTCGCATAAGAAAAATTAAATTTTGGGTAAAATGTCAAACATAAAAAACTCCGAAACTGTTTTTTCTTGCTTTAAAAACGAGTTAATCGTTAGCATGAGATGAAAATGTTTAGTGGCAGTGATTCAAATTTCTTCCGGCATTCAGAATGTTTCACTTTTTTTGAAAGGATAGTACTTCTCAATACATCCCCACTGGAATAATACTTGTCAAATACATCTCAAACCCATCAAGAATCTAGGAAGTGCGTGAACGACATGATGGTATGTGAATGTTGTGATTAAGGTCTATTTCATATTGAGAGACGCCTTTCCGGAAGGAAAAAACGTAGCACGACTCTCCGAATCTGTATTATATCTCAGTAATATCAACAGCACAAATAGATGTTCGCGCTGCTTTATTGATTTCAACATTTTTCTTTCTCATTTGAGACACCGAATTTTCTCCGCTTAACATTTCTTTGTTATCTCTTACATCATGACTCATCAAGAATCAGGATATTCCAGTCGTTATTGCGATATCTGCGGACTTACTGCTAAACTGGAAACCGACTTGAATGATAAAGGTCATTTATTTTTGCCCGAGGTGGCACGCGGCACCGAGGAGAAATTCGCATTAGTTTGTAATCGAATTGCATCGAATGTTTACGAATTTAATCGGACGATTAATTTGCCTGGTAAACGTGAGCTAGAAGCACGGATCAACGAAAAAGTCCAAGGTCTGGATGGTGAGATTCGTCAGCGTCTAAACAAAAAAGTATTTTGTTTGTATTTACTCGATGTATTTTTAAAAAAGTTCATTTTCCTCCAACTAATGTGAAAACAGTCGAGCATGTTTGAGGTCCTCAACTTCTATCTGTGCAACTTCAAGACCTGCACAGATATTATCGGAGAATGACCTGATCGTTAACTTCGATTTTGTTAACTAAGTACAAAAGGTCAGGCACAGTAATTCCCATCGGTTTAAGGTAAGCTTGCTAAGATATCGCCCAGATATTTGCAGTTGGATTAGTAAGGCAGGAAAAGGTTTTTTCGGCACTTCAAAGTAGAAACTATTGCGGATTCATCCCAATAAATCTATAGAGCAGTTAAAAATTTTCTGATTGGCTGCATAAGTATGTTCAAAATCAGTGTATTGTTTTTTGGATTCTTAAATGAAAGACATTTCAGCGAGGTCGATTTCAAATATTCCTAAACTTAATCAGTGCCGAACAACCAGCAATCGGGCGAGATGATTGGTTTGCGAAGTCTCTTGATGTAAATGAAATTTTCTTGCAACTTTTTTTCTTGTCTATGTTAGGTACTCGATAGTTAGCTATTTCTGGTTTGGTAATTTTTGTCCTAAATGCAATAATTTCTCGCGTCACAATAATATTCAAAAAAAAGTAACTAAAAAGCAATATTTCAGTGCCGATGTTGTTGGGATGGTCGTGACGCTTCGTGCCATGGTGTACTAAGTTTGTTGTACTGCAATAAAGAAGAGTGCAAGAATAATTGGGCACAACGCTGTTTGCATCAAACAGCACGCATCGTTGCATGTTATACAGTTGAATTTAATTATCGCATGACGACTTCATATGCAGACGTCATTCGGTTTTTAGAAGAAAACAATCATTCGAATCAGGAAACTGTTATGTCAGTACCGGAAATACAGTAAACTTTACATTAATTGAAAATTTTCTAATAGATTTTACTTGAAAGTGAATTTCAATGATTCAACATATTCGTAATGCATGTATTTTCACTGCTTCTGGTTGATCGGATCACTCAGTTTTGAAAACTTACGAATCGAATTTTTCTGGCTCCGTAATCCTTTGATCTGCAGACTTGAACCTTTTTTCTTTCCGTTATCTGTGTTTATTCTTTTCTCTTTCTTTGATCAGGTTACTGATCTGTGACCTTAAACCGATCTCACACCCAAAAGATTCTTTGGAAATCTGCATGTCATACAATTTGTGTAATACTATAAGTTACATGTTCGTTTAAGCTGTATGAATCCATTTTCAGGCAGATTTCACCACATTTACTAGGCACTGTTAAAACCAGCGATACTTCCCAACCTCTACCCGAAAGATGTGTGGCAAAAATGCCTCAGAAGCTGATACATTTGCGGCGTTATTGTATAATCTTCTGGAATGATAAGCTATGTTGTTCACATTGTTCTGGTGTATGTCAACCTTAGATTTTCCAAATTTCAAGTTAACTAAATTCCCCATTTCCTTTTACAAATGGACGGGTCAATCCCAAGTAATTCTGGTTCGGTAATTGATATGCAACGCAACTACATAAGGTGATGTACCTTAACTCAAGACAGTCCAGTTGTTTTCTGATAATGTATATGGATTCCGCTCTATGTCGGTCTTCATTACGGATTCCGCTATGTGTTGGTTTCCATGTAGAGAACCCTATGATACCAGTTATCAAACCATCCGATTTGATCGACCTTTTGTTGCTAAGAGACTCAATAAAAGCTTATACAAACTGGCAGTACACTTTTGAAAAGCTCCATTCTGCACCGAAGGGAAATCGCTCCTTGGAAAGAAAACAAGTGAAAATCAGAAGTGAATCTTCTATTTTCGAATTCATTTTTTCTTTTTTTTTTGCAAAACCGAGATGTTTTTAAAGATCTCAAATGAATTCATGCTTAGATCAGTAATGATTATTTCTTACCTTCACTGCTTTGTAAGTTTAATTCATTTAATTCCCATTGTGCAATAAAAATTTTTTTGTGTTGTGACGAGTTCAAATAGTAGTTCCATTTGAAATCAGTTTCTAACTTCACATCAAATTACCTTCTGTACCTCCCAAACTAGTCATTTGTACTCCTGCTGTAAAAAAAGGTCAAAGCCATTTTTTCGTCTCCATGATTTCTGTTATAATTGTAATTCATGTATCTCATCAGAGCTAATTATAGAATGAAAAAAGCCAACAAACGTTTGCTGTAAAAATAAGAAGAGTATCTGTGACAGTTGCTTCGGAACGGGTTGAATGCATGACCGAATTCGAGTAAGCTTCCACAACTTTTTCCATAAACGGCTTCTGCTGACAGAAATGAGAAGCTGCGCCACTCGTATTTTTGAGGAAATTAGAAATGTTTGCCTTCAGCGAAAATGAAATAACTTCAGGAAAAAGAAATAGTAAAGGAGATAATCATCACTGAGAGGATTGAAATTTCATTCTTCAACGATAAAATAGCCAGTGTCCATCGTGAAAATTTACACCTAATAAATATGACTTGTCAGTTGAAATACAGTGGACAACTCATCACTCTTTTATTGATACAGCCTTGATGAGTTACTAATTTAGCTCGCCAAGTAATCATTCCTGAACAAACTCTGCTACCAAATTATTAAGATTGCCATCAGCTAACAGAATTACTTTTTTTTTGAAAGGAATGAATTCACTTGTAGTGCCCTATCATTTAGATACTGATGTTGATGACAGCCATTGCTCTGCTGTTGAGCAACGATATGAATGCTTGTCATCCATCTTTCAAAAGAGATTTTATGTTGCCAGCCAAAATACGTTTTTAATAATTTCAAAACGGTTGTGTTTGCTTAATTAAATGTGTATAGTGTTTGTTTAATTACATTTAATTATATATATATATATATATATATATGTCTGTGGGTGTGTGAGTGTTTGGGTTTGGGTGTATGTAGATGTCTATGTTTGTTTACCAGTTTGGTGCGCGCAAATGTAGGTGTGGGTATATGGGTTTTTGTAGATGTTTATTTCTGTTTACCAATTTGGTGAGTGCAAATGTGTACGCAAATGTTGCACGCAATTGTCGTGTGTGCAAATTCGTGTGCATAGATGTCACTAAACAATTAACACCAAATATTGATTGCAAAAGTGAGTTGGATATGAGATATGCCGTTAATTATGTTAATTATGTGGTTAATATTAACTGAAATAGAGATTTAACTTATCTATGACAAATTGAATAACATTTTCATACAGAAGAACATTTTCCGTTCGCGTTTTTTCATCATAAATATTGATCATATTTGCCATTTATTGTCATCTACATAACTTAAAGTTAATTGAAGTATTTGGCTTTTATTGCATATTTTATGCAGCAAGTCAAATCGTTGACTTCTTCTATCTACACGGTAAATTTCAAATAAAATTTAGTTTAAATAAAATTTGAAATGATGAATTACCCTGTTATCACACCATTCGTTATACATTATAGTACAGCGCATAACTGATAAACGACACACACACAAACACGACATTTTCCCACAATGTATTTGTATACACGACACATGTGACATTTGTGTACGTGACATTTGCGCACGCGCTACTTGTGCAGACGCGACACGACGTGTTTGAAACGTACATTTGAAACATGCATACACGTACGTAAGTGACATATGTGATGAGTTCATGACGTGCGAATACGTGAGGTATGCAACGTGCGTTTACGAGGCATCTGCGTTATGTGTGGGACGTACGTGTATGTAGGTACGTGTATGAGACGCACATGCATGTGAGGTGCATGAATTGGACGTGCATGTGACGCAAGTCCAGTGACTTGTGTGTTATGACGTGTGTGTAATATGTGTATGTGACGCACTATACGTAACGTGTTATGATGAATGTATACGATACGTGTTTGGGACGTACGTGTGTGTATGGTGTGTTTTTGTGTATGGGCAATCGACTTTGCAATCAAATCAACGTCACACATACATCACGTCATGTACATGTCCGTCAAATATACGTCATGCACACATGCGTCTCAATACGTCGCATACACGTACGTCGCATAAACGTATGTTACGGATACACACGTTACATACGGGCCATATACGCGTATATAACATATACACACGTTGGTCACATCATTTGCATTTTACATACACTTACGTTGCATGCAAGTCACATACGCGTCCTCACATACACCTCACAAACATGTGCATCACTATACTTCGCCCAGATATATCTCACATAACATCAAATAACACGGCGTTATGCACGCCACAAATGTTCCACGTACAGATACGTCACACACACATCAGATACGCGGACGTCACATACACGTCATGTACATGTGTTACATGCGCACCACATACATGCATGTAACATGCACGCACATCACGTACAAACACGTCAGGTACACGTGAGTAACGTGAGTAACATGCACACACGTTTAAAAAGGGCTTACCATCCAATTCAGTAATTGGATTATCGAAAACTAACAACAGTTGGAAGTGACGAAAGCAGTTGAAATTTAAAATACGAGATGCCAGCTTTTATTCTAATCGTCCTTATATTAAAGTGCATGCCTCAATTTAGATTCGTAACCGTCCATCAAAATAAATAATCAAATGAACTTCGTCGAAAAAAAAGGATAGATAAAGGCTAACGGAATCATCACTACCGATTTCCACAGCAGAAATTTTCTGGATTTTTTTTATGACAGATATTTTTTGGGATTTTCCATGGAAGACATTTCCCGGAATTTTCCATTATGAGTCCGACATTTTGACTATGAATATACGTGACATGAAGCAAAATGTGCCTTATAAACATTTTGCATTCAATAACTTCGAGTTTATCCCATTTGACTGTGCTTTTATTCGAAGTTATAAACTACATTACTAATTAATTTGATGATGTAACATACATAACTTACTGGCTCCGGTAATAGTTGTCTTACATAATTTTTTTTCCGGTAAATTGTCTGGAAAGATCCTGTTTGCAAAGACGAATTCAATATCGGATGGACGTCCAGAACGAGAGTTTTGCATCAACCAATACAAAGACAAAGCTATCAGCTATTGTGGATTACGTCCATAGATTTCATCATGTTCGATGCAAATTATTTGCTTTTATTTCACTCATAATTTGTTTCATAAGATTCTCTTTTCAGCTTGAAATATTTCCTGATTGAAATGTAGCTTACTGGGACGGTGAACTTCACTTTTCTGATTCTGATTGATATTCCCTTAAATTAACTCATTCAAAAATTGAAACTTCGCTCCTATTTCTAAGCAAGAGTAATTCTTTATGAAATTTTCATTATTCATCATTGAAAGTCGATTCTTTCTAACTATTTTTGTCCTGAATAACCAAATAGTTTCGGTAAATAGATCAGATTGATCTGCCCATTAATCTGAAAATAATAAACACTAATAACAGAGTTTTCGCGATAGAAATTTTTAAGCAGTTTGTAAACAGTTTGTAAGCAGCAAGCAATAAAGGTCTCTCCTATATTCAAATTCTAATAATGATTAATAAGCCAACTGGAAATGAAAGAGGTCCAAATGTATATGCAATTTATTAAAAGAAAAATCCACCTGAGGTTTAGTATGCATTTCATCAAAACAACTTATGCCAGCTTTTGCTACTGGTAAACTTATGCCAAATCCTCATAATTTTTAGAAATATTTGGATGAAAAATTTCTAACACTTTTTCACTTTCATCTCTCTATCTTTTCTTTTTCATTTCTATCAGAAATAAGCACAGATAACCATTCAAATGCGCTGTTTTGATCTTATTATGAGATACGTTATGACTCATTAATAACAGTAAGTATTATCAAACCATTTGTAATTAATTAAATGTTATTTGTAATTTGGATTACTCCCTTATGGATACATTCTATTGGAGAAGATTGATTTGTCTGAAATTGGTTCGAAGAGTGATTGATCAGTTCAAAGGTTTGTCAAAAGTTTTTTCCGTTTCCTTGAAAATTATTTCTTTTCGGATCATGACACGCTTTGATTATCAATTTTTTTGACATCCTCGAAATGCCATAAGAATTCTGAAATCCGAAATATTTCTAAGATCCTGTTGATTTTTCTCAGTCTAGTCCGTATAACTTCAAGTTCAGTACTTTGACTGCAATTTTTCCGCTAATTTTCACACTTATACTTCGAATTAAAGGATCGAAAAAACCAATGTTGCCGAACATATCTTTTTGCAGCAGAAGGATTTACTGACTTTGCATGCTGTTGCAAAATACAATTCAATAGATTAAGTTAAACATGCATCTTGCATTTGCAACCGACTATATTGAACAACAATGCATGTTTCATTTTTGCACAGTTTCACATCTCCAACTCAACAGCAGCAAAGGATCCGTCTTGGCATATCACACCCTTCCTTTGATTAATATTGCTATATTAAAACTTTTTGTATAGCATAATAAAATTTTAAAGATAATCATAATGTGATTTAAAAATTCAGCAGGAACCTCCTAATACCAGCGCTGCAGTGAGCGATTATTGGTTTTTTCCCGTAATGTTTATGAAACATACTGTAAATTCAGCCACATGCGATTGTAGAATACAAATGTGATAGCAGCAATAATACAGTAGCAGTAATAGAAATTAAGTAATACAATAACAGTAATGGAAAGTCTATTAAAGTAGAATATGTGTCATTTGGGATAAATTGTCTGATTTGCAGTGATATGCAATGACAAATATAAGTGAATTCCGTGATATGTCCATTTCATGAAGTTCACTGCTTTTCAAACAGATATCAGTGACTAAATAATGAGTAAAATTTTGATTTTTTTTTTTGTCCAAGTAGTAGAGCTTGCAAAGTAGTAAGGCTGCGTCTAGAGATCCTCTCTCTAGACAAGTTAAGTTTACGCACTGCTTGAAAATTGAAAAGAAATGGGAAATTTGGCTGCTATTCTAAATTACAGTTGGAAATGTCCAGATCGATCAGATTTCCAAGCTGATTTAGGAGCATTATCAAGTATTACGATATTCCATTGCACTTCGACAGTAAACCGATAATTGACTTTAGGAAAGAAGGTTGGGGAAGAGGAATTCCTGCCAAGAGTCTAATCCATCAATGGCATTATTAGAGAGTGAGGGTGATATCGGCTGTCCGAATTGATAGATAGGATTTGCATCCTAATTGTTGGGAATGACTGAGTAGATAAATTCGCCAAAACATTTTGAGAATTATCGAGGTGTTGAAGTTGTGGATAGTACGCTAAAGCGTTTTCGGGTAAATAATGTATTCTATTGGAAGACAAAGAAATTGTCAACATATAATTAATACAGGGAAGGTATTTCTACATTTGGTTTTTCTGCAAATATTTTCTTAAACAATATGTTTAAACTTTAAAGCTATGAATATTATTCCTTGGGAACACTTTGCTGTCCGGATAGAGGAGGATGCTGGTAAGCAAGAGTGGATGTCACGAGCAGTCATGAAAATTGAATATGAGTCATTTCTATGTATTCATGTGAATCCGTCACGTCACACTCGATCACATATGAGTCAACATTCAGATAGAAACTGAATTAAAATTCATCAAGTTTGCATATTTTCTTATGGCACCGAGAACTAGGATTTCAGTCTGAAAGTCTTGAAAGAAAATTTAGATACTTTTTGCACATAATTTTTGTCGCCGATTTCCTTCAACCTTGACAAAGATTGCAGGTTCTCCCTGCCTCTTTGGTTTGTAGTACCTTGAATTGGGTAATTAAATCTCTATTACGATAAATTTGTTAATACGATAACGAACTCAATATTTTCGATGTGGCAAATTAATGACGATAACAATATGAAATGAAACCCAACGTCGCCCGATATCGTCTACTCGACCGACCTCGTTGAAACACATCTGTAAAGTGATTTTGGTGCTCAGAACCTCCGTTTCTCTTAGTAAGGAGGATCCTAGTACAGTTCTGAGATTACAAAAATTAGCGCTTCTATTAGCGCATAAGGAATGGAGCTTTGTTAGAGCACATAGGCGTTATAAATTCACCACTATAGTTTACATTGTACAGTACACTACATGTATATACTCAATGGTATCAGATCAACAACAAAGGTATTATTTCACTGCTCTTTCTAGCGATTTCAACTTTTTCAATTTCGCGTTTGATCAGAAGTATTCTGTAAATTTTGTGATTTGCCAAGCAGTTTTTGCTTTTCCTTTTTTATTTAAGTGATGGAAGATTTTAACAGATTCAATAAGAATGGTTTATTCCAATCAAAGAATCCAACAAAGTTCTTTTAGCCAATCTTAACAGCAAGAATGATATCTACATCATTAAAAAAAAAGTTGCCGGCAGCGCCGTCGACAATTAAAATTTGCCTAAATGTCCCTCTTTGAACATCGTTACAACGGTATGTATATCGCTTCAGTAAAGGCATTACAATTCGTTTTTTGAACAGTGTCACCTGTTTCTCTTTCTTTGTCTTTTGCTAGACTGTTTTTGCTTTTCAAGAAAATCTTGAATCCGGAATAGTGCAAACAAAAGGACTACGACAGAATTAGAACTTACCTTTTTGACTGCAAAATGTCGGGGAAACAATTGTCCCAATGCCTCTACCTCAAACATTCCCAATGCAGTAATGATATGAAAATTAAACCGTAAACAGTTATCAATGTGCTGCATCCCTTTGATAATTGTCGCAAATGTTAGTAAAACTACCGTTCGACAATCGTTTTACTCGTCGTGATTATTCACAATAAATTAACAAATTTACCACACTTATTTTTCTTTCCTTCCTTCCTTCTTCCTTCTTTTTTTTCTGTTTATGTGCCGATAAAACAGTGAACTTTTTCGGGAATCGATTATTCAACGTTTTTCTTTACATTCCTCTCTTCAAGGTCATCCCAGTTTAAGTACACAGAATGTCCTTTTAACAATACTTTTTCTGTTTCAATATTTCCCTATTTGGTACGATGTCAGGATGAAAAAAAGGAAGAGGAGAAATTGTTTTTGGTGATAACCTGTTCAGTTAGAAATTAGAAATTTAGAATAAGGAAATTTCATTATGAAACTTTTCTTCTTCAACTTTATTTCTTTCCAATTCTTTGCCAGTTTTTTACTCCACATCTTACACACTTCTTAAATCTCTTGATGGCCTTTTATTTTATCGAGAAAATTGATTGTCATGGAACCACATTATCTGGAAATTGTTTTTTCCAAAATCGATTTTTCTATAATTCTTTTTTCTTATCAGAATCATTATTTGCGCTCATAGTCTTCGTGGAAAGGTAAGGACTGTAGGAAATTATTCTATGCAATCCCGACTAGATCTATATAATAAACAAATATGTGTTCTTTAGCTGCATAGAGAGATATAACGTATTGTCTATGCCGGATTGCTTTTCCCTCTTAGCGAAAATGATTGATTGGAATAAAGAAAGCCTGTAAAATGGAATAGCAAAAAAAGTACCTTTGCTTCTCCGGCTTATCCGGAATGATATCTCTATAAAGCTGAATAATTGATTTGTTTTTCTTCCGAATGGTTTTGCCATCTTACTTATCTTCTGAAATGAATTTGTTGATAAATGAATGAAGAAATCGATATCACGAAAAATGAAGCATGTAATCTTATTCCCAGTGATACAAAAAGAATATCTTTTTCACTGATAAGATTTCTGAAGTTTTAACCAATGTCAATGACAAGGAAACCACGACTCGATCCAGAAAAGTTATTGAGCGCATTTGGGAAATATGGCAAATACCAAGTATGATATTGATGTTTGAAAAAAAGATCTTCATTTTTTCACAGCAGATTCCACAACTAATCGATCTGACTGATACAATTTCAGATGCGTACATGCATGTTGCTAATGATACCTGCATTCTTCTACTCCTCACAAATGCTTATCATGGGATTTATCACTCAGCCACCACCATTCCAATGTATCATCAGTATTTCGAACTCTTCCAATCCTTCTGTAAGTTTGTTACTTTAGTATTTCTTTATTCAATTGTGCAGAAGTTAAATGACATTATACATAATAAATCTTTTTAGATTTATTTCTGTGAACAATGATAGCTGTTAAAATGATCATTTTGGCATATTTTGTATTTGAGTGTATTTTGTAGCAACAGATTTATCAAGTGCTTGATAATTGTCATGTACTCGAATTGAAAACCAATAAAACAATGCAATGTTCAGCTGTACCTAATTCAACGTACCTGTATGAAGAGGAAGTGCCTTTTTCCACAATTAATTCCGAGGTTGATTTTTAAAATGTGATAAGAGTTAACTGAGCTGTGTGGTAATATCCCTCAAATTGTTGTCATGAGGGATAAACCAGATAGGTCTATTCACAATCGTACATCTGATTTGTAGCGCAAAAACCTAGTTACAAGTAAATCAAGTTGTTATAAGTCTTCCGCGTTATGCATCAAAAGCTTTTTATAAGTCTTCATGAGAGGCAATGACTAATTAATTATTACTGATAATGATAGATAGTATTGGGTATTAGTGGCGAAAAAAAAGTTTCAGTTCAATTTAGTATGCGACGATGAGCACTGGGCAGAGCATGGTACATCATTGTTTATGCTAGGTAAGCAGCATCAGTTAAACACCATTTTGAGAAATATCATTGAATTATCAGAACTTTGATTAAAGAAAAATTTGAAAAAATTCTTAATTTTTTGGCGATTTTAGTGAAAATTTGATAAGGTTTTCGCTACTTTTGCTCAATGTATTATCGATCTGGGGATGAAAGCAATCATCACAAATCACTGATCGTGTTATCCATTAGCGATCACACCTGGAAATATTTGTTTAAGTATTTTGGAGGAAAGAAAATTTTAAAAAACACTCACGTTTAAGGAGGGCTGTTCACACCAGTAATTACTCAATTATCTGATCTGTACGGTCGGCGGAAATTGTTGCTGTTCTCAATGTGGATCGCTAGCATTATGGCTAATATCTGTCCGATAACACCAACGGAGCTTACTTTTCTGGCCTGTCGTTTTATCCTCGGTGTCGCAACTACGGTACATTTTGAAAAGCGCCTTTTGTAGTAGGAAAATGATTAAAATTCAATTTGAATAAAATATGAGAGGATTTTTAGTAAGTGATTGAAATTTTAATTTAAGATTGGAAAAGAATGTGTGAGCATGCAAAACACAAACACTATTCAGTTTAGATTTCATGAGGGTGAGTGTGTTGAAGTGGACCAGAATTTAAGTTGAAATGGAATCCAGAGACAATTATTGGATTATAGAAAGAGGAGGAAAGGAAAAAGAATGGCGCAAATGTATTCGCTGCAAAAATCTTAAAGCAACAATACCAGTTTCTTTCATTCTATGATATTTGTGAATTTCATTCTATATATTTAGAGTATTTATGCTTTAATGTGGACAATGTGCTGTGAATCAGTGGCAATCGAATTTAGATCCTTGATCCCGATAGCATATACTTTTGCCTGGGTAACAGGGATCATGCTTGTTGGCATCCTGAGGATCTGGATCCTTAACTGGAGGCGGCTATACTTCGCGATATCTATCCCAAGTACACTTAGTGCCTTATATTACTGGTTCGTCCTAGTCATCCTTTATGCTTGTCTAAATTGTTAAAATTATTTCAGTTGTGATTTCAATGTTCAAATAAAACTATGTGAACAATCATCGCGACTGTTAAATATTTTTTTAAAGGGAAGGAACCGTTTGGATCTCCAGACCAACTTCTCTCGAACAACAAATAACTTTCCTATTTTTTAAGTTCTTTGCCTTTGAAAAGCGACAGGGAAATACGATTATCTTAAATGTGAAACTGATTCGATTGTATGATAGTTT